TATCAATGAAAACTTTTTTTTTCGCATTCATTTTTTTGTTTGTTTATTGAAATGATGATCTTCATCATCGAATTGATTTATAATAATGAGCATTAGCAGTATTAAAACAACAACAACAAAATGGAAAACAAAACGAAGCAAAACTCTGACTGAAGTTGACAATCGACAAGAATATTCTGTAATTTTCATTCTCTCTCTCTCTCTCTCTACATTTCGTTTCATTTAACACATTTTGAATTTTTTCTTCTTCTTCGAAGATTCAGCCAAAACAAGAACAGAATTAAGAAAAAAATTAATCCTCGTTCCAAGAAAAACAAAAACAGTTTTTTAAATTCTGGAAATTTTCTTAGAATTGGGAAAATTTCTGATCAAATTTCATATCATCATCATCATCATTACAACAACAACAGCAATTAATGAAGTAATTGAAAACAAAAAATACAATTTCGATCAAATATTGTTGTTATCGTGGTAACCTTTGTTCTTTTTTTTTAAAAAAAAAGTTTTTCGAAAATTTCTTCGAAAACATTTTCATTAATTTTTTGTTTCTCAAAAACGAAATTGAACGAAGTTGCCGAAAAAAAAACAAATTATCACCATTTTAGATGATGATGAAAGGCAGTCAAACGAAGAAAAAATGAAAACTTTTTCATTTTAATTTCAAAAAAATGAATGGTACAACCTCCACCACCACCACCGCCGCCGCTAGCATCACTACAAGTAAAACAAATATTCAATCATTATTGTTGAAAGGAAATTTGACTAAAAATAAAGATATTAGTACAAATAAACATTAACGCGTTCGCTACCAGCGACGCATATATGCGTCGTTTATTTGCTGTAGTTCTATGTGTTTTTCGAAATCTCCGGTAGCGAACGCGTTAAAATGAAGAAAAAACCCGAAACATTACCCGAAAAACCAGGAGAAATTATTATTGATTTTACAATTTTTGTTTTTTGTTTTTTTACCCATTCAAAATTACCTTTAACTTGTAAGTTTCTTATGATATTCAGATATTTACCAGTGAAAAATCCATTAAAAACCGTTCTCAAAAGTTTTTCATTTTTAATTTTCCAACCGAAAAACGAATAACCGAAAAACGGAATAACCGATCGATTTGAAAATTTTTTTTTGTAGCTGCTTTCAATGGAAAAGCTGAATGATTTATCGTTCGGTTGCCACAATTTTGAAAAAAAACTCAAAATTTGAAATACCTTGAACTGGAAACAAACAAACAACAAACGAACGAAAAAAGTTCAATTATCTTTTCTTCTTCAATTTCATTCATATTTTGAGAAAAAAAAGTTTCATTTTTCCACCCTGAAAACAAGAAAATAAAGTGAAAATTTGATCAAAACAAGAACGAAAATTATTCCAATTTCAACGTAACCGAAAAGAGAAAAACCTGGTTCCAAAAAAATTTTCATTTTTTTTGCAATTCTCGATTCGCTGTGTATATATAGAGAGAGAATCGGCATATTGCTACCCAGAATATTCCTTGATGGTAGTGGTACATACAGAATTCGATTCTGTTCTGATCATTATCATCAAATGTTGATTCTATGATTCGATGTGCGCATGTCACAATGAATTCTACTATCAGTAAGATTTGCGCCCATAGACCATAAGGTTTATTTTTTAGCGTTTTTTCTCTCTTCTTTCTCTTGGTTCCAATATAATCTCTATACGTTTTTTTCTGTTTCATTTTTTATTTTTTCATTTGTGATCAGTGACTGATTTGTGACAGACAGACCAGACCAGACACACAGAATATTCAAAATTACATAATCTTATCTATTTTCTCTCGTTTTTTAATCATAAGATTTTCAAATGTTTTTTTTTCTTCAAATGAATTTTTTTAAATCTTTTTTGATTCGTTGCTATGTGTTTTTCATGTGTTTCTTAAGTTTTGAAATCAAATTTTCATGAAGTTTTTCTTGATTTTTTCATAAGTGTTGTGTTGTTCGTGTGACGAAACAAATGTTTACCCCACATATTGATGATTTAAAAATAAATAATTTTTTTTCATTTTGTAATTCTTAAAAATTGACAACACAAACCACAAACAAACAGAGGGAGAAACATTACAATTAAAAAGAAAATTGTAAACATTCATTTTTGTTTGTAAAAACTCTGAAAAACAACGACTAAAACAACGAGAGAAAAGATAAACAAATCTTGAATCTTCAAATCAATTGATTGGAAAAATTTCAATTATTCAACTAATTACAAGGAATTTTTGGCTAAATTTCAATCATTTTGTTGTTGTTGTCGTCATTGTTGTTGTTGTTGTTGTTGTTGAAATAAACAAAGAAGCAACAACAACAACAACAACAAAAATCAATGAATTTCTTCATCATCTAAATCAAATGAAAATTAAATCAAATCGTCGTTCGTCGTCGTCGTTGTTCGGTAATTGATTATCATTTGTTGTTGTTGTTAATGTGACATTCGACAACTTTGTTTTGTTTTGTTTTGTTTNCTCTTGGTTCCAATATAATCTCTATACGTTTTTTCTGTTTCATTTTTTATTTTCTCATTTGTGATCAGTGACTGATTTGTGACAGACAGACCAGACCAGACACTGAGAATATTCAAAATTACATAATCTTATCTATTTTCTCTCGTTTTTTAATCCTAAGATTTTCAAATGTTTTTTTTTCTTTTCAAATGAATTTTTTAAATCTTTTTTGATTCGTTGCTATGTGTTTTTCATGTGTTTCTTAAAAGTTTTGAAATCAAATTTTCATCAAGTTTTTTCTTTTCATAAGTGTTTTGTGTGTAACGAGAAGAATTTTTTTTTTAAATCAGAAACATGTTTGATGATTTAAAAATAAATAATTTTTTTTTCATTTTGTAATTCTTAAAAATTGAAAACACAAACCACAAACAAACAGTGGGAGAAACATTACAATTAAAAAGGAAATTGTAAACATTCATTTTCGTTTGTAAAAACTCTGAAAAAAACAACGAGAGAAAAGATAAACAAATCTTGAATCTCAAATCATTCGATTGGAAATATCTTCGAGAAATCAATTATTCAACTAATTACAAGAAATTGAAAGAATTTTGGCTATATTTCAATCATTTTGTTGTTGTTGTTGAAATAAACAAAGAAGCAACAACAACAACAAAAATCAATGAATTTTTTTCTTCATCTAAATCAAATGAAAATTAAATCAAATCGTCGTTCGTCGTCGTCGTTGTTCGGTAATTGATTATCATTTGTTGTTGTTGTTAATGTGACATTCGACAACTTTGTTTTGTTTGGTTTCTTCCGCATTCACATCATCAATGAATCATTGAATGTCAGCAATAAATTTTTGCTTCCACTCTCTCACTCTCTCTCGTTATCTATCTGATAATCAATTAATCATATCCACAAAACAACAACAACAACAACAATTTATCAACAACAACAACAAACGAAACGAAACGACAGCAGATTTTCATTATTTACACATCCAACATTCATTTATTTTTTTGGGTAAAGAAAAAAATACTACCGATAACAACACACAGTGTGTGTGTATTGATTTAATTTCATTTCGGCAGTGAAAAGAAGAAAAATTTTTCCGAAAGTGATTTTATCACACAGAAAAAATTCTTGTCTTGTTTTCTTCGCGCGCGCGGGGGAAAAAAATTCCAACATCTGGTTTCGTTTCTCAGCAAAAAATTTTCGCTTTCATCATTTGTCAATATCCAAAATAATCACCATTTCATTCATTTTGATGACAATCTTATCCTACATTCTCACCGTCAGAAGAAAGAAAGAATAAACCGATAAAGACAGACAGACAGAAGTAAATATTCAACCAATCGATCGATCGAATCAATCAATCGATCGATCGATCGAAAATTTAAACAAGACGACGGAAAAAGACAGGGAGAAAAAACATATACACCGAATGACAACAACAAGAAAAATATCATAATAATGATGATAAACTTTATCATTTATAAATCGATATAATCGATTGTTTTCTTTGTCAAAAAAAACAACAACAATCGATTGTTTTTATTTTGTTTGTTGATCCAGAATATTCTCTGATGAACGAAGGTATTTTCCTGATCATCATCATCAAATAGCAATCAAGAATCGTCATCATTTGAAAAGCAATCAACTAAATTGATTGAAGAAAATTTCTTTAAAATAAATTTTTGGTTAAAATAACAACAAAAAAGAGAAGGACGAATCATCATATTCTATCGATATTATCGATTGTTTCGTTCTTCATTTTTTTCAAAAAAAAATTAATCACCGGAAAATATTTTTCAACCCAAAAACTGAACAAAAAAAACTTTTCATTCGAATCGATTTTAGAAAATAAAAAAAAAATCCATAAATTCTGTTATCAGATTATTTTAAAAAACAAAACATTTCCAATCCAAATGATGATGACCAATCGTTCAGCGAAAAGACAAAATCGATATTATTAAATTATTGGATTATCTTCGATCATCATCATCATCATCTACGAAGAAAATATTTCTGGAAAAAATATTTTTGGAAATATTTCTGCACTAATCTAATGATGAACAAATGAAGAAAATGAAATCATGAAAAAAATCATCATTAGTTGATTGGCTAAGCACTTTTCTTTTCTTTTCTTTTGGCAAGAAAACAAAACAAAACAAAAAAAAACATGAAATATGAAAAAAGAAGAGAAACAAAAAGCAAAGCAATAAATAAATGAATGAAAAAAGATTTATCATTTTTTTCTGGTTTCATCTGGTCTTCCTTAATTCCCAATAATCATAATCAGCTAATGGCCTGCTATTAACAAACGAAAAAAGAAACATCTTAATTTTGTTGCTTTGTTCTGATAATAAACATCATCATCATCATTAACGTTGATAAATCTTGATAGGAATTTTGCAGTGCAAGCAATCAAACAAACAAGCAATATTTTCAGTTCGCTCAATCAATCAAAAGAAAAAAATTTGATGGAAAATATTTTTCTGGGAATTTTTTTTGGGAAATTTTCCAGGAAAAAAATTTTATCGAAAACTTTCCTTTATTGAATGGATGAAATTTTTTGTGATAAAATCCAATTAAATTAAATTAAATTAAATTGAAAATATGCAACGAATACGTGATACATTTCGTCGTCGTGCAGGTGGTGGTGGTGAATCTCAACGACAATCACAATCCCAATCACAATTGATAATCGGTTCATCTGAATCATCATCATCATCATTAGCATCATCACCGGCTGCAATAATGACCACAACATCGACAAATTCATCATCATCATCAACATCATCGACATTAGAACAACAAGCAAAAGCCGAAGCATTTCGACAACAAAATCGTTATCGTCGACAACAATTAATACAACAACAACAACAACAAAAATTATCGAAAAAACATTTACGTAATAATAGTACAAATGGTGGTGGTGGAAGTAGTGGAAATTTATACGGTGCAAGTAGTACAAATAATATTGGTGGAATAAGTTTATCCGGTAATTATATGTTAACCGGATTTAATTCAACAAATTCAACACCAAAACATCGTTTAAAATTATCACCATCATCATCATCATCGATTATTGTTGTTGATGATCAACAACAACAACAACAACAATCGCATCATTCACATCATCATTATCCTCATCATCATTATTCACAATCATTATCATCACAAAAATCATCACCATCACATTCATATACTGATGATATTATCATCAGTGGTAGCGGAAATGGAAATAATAATAATATTGGTGGTGCTACCGGTGGTGGTGGTAGTGGCAGTGGTAATTTTTGGTGTAGTACAGGTGGTATGATGCGTTCATATGATCATTTGGATATGATGATTGAACCAAGACGTGAACAGCAATCGCAATCGCAACAACAACCGCAATCACAATCGCAATCATCAACACCATCACCATTAAAATTATCAACAGCTAGAAATGATGATAACGATCATCATTTTAATTTTGATATTCAAAATGATCAACAACAACAACAACAACAACAATGGAATCATAATTTCAATCAAACAAATGAAAATTCAATCAGTAATAATCAATTTGATTTGATAAAATCAACGTGCCTTAATAATAATAATAAACCAAACGAAACGATAATTAGTGATAATAGCAGTAATGATTATGATTATCAATCAATCATAATGATGATGGATCAGAATAATCAGAATAACCAGAATTTATTACAAATGGATACATCAGGATCAGGATCATCATTATTACAGATACCAACGTATAATAAAATACGTTCAGCATCATTTGATGATTCACGATCATCGATGCGTATGATGATGATGATGAATAATAATGTTCCAGGCTGTGGTAACGGAAGTGGTGGCGCCACTGGTGGTCTTAATGTACCATCATTATCACAGGATGGACGTAATGTAAGATCCAAATCATTTGATCATTCAGCTTCTCAACAACAACAACAATTGCAACTTCAACAACAACAACAACAAATGTCAAAACAACAACAACAATCATTTTTTATAAATCAATCAATGAATAAATCACAAACAATAATCAATTCTGATTCAATAAAAACAACAACAACAACAACTTCGACAACAACAACAACAAATAATTTATTAAATAAACGTAGTGATTCAAATGCTTCCAATCAATCAACCGGATCAACTGGTGTTACATTTTTAGATGTACCAAAATGGAAATTATTAATTAGAAGATCATCGGCAACAACAAATCAACAACAACAACATCAACAACAACAACAACAACAGCAATATCAACAACAACAACAAATGCAGCAACAACAACAACAATCATCGACAACAACAACAACAAATTCTTCAAATGATTATTATTCACAATTATCATTAATGTGTAAAGATTGTGTACATTGTCAATATATGTATGAATTGATACAAGAACAACAACTGCAACAACAACAACTCTTACAACAACAACAACAACAAAAACAAAGATTACCAACAGTTGATGAATATGGTCGTACAATATCACCACAATCGGATACAATTGATGATGATTATGATGATAATGATAATTCACCATCCGATCATTCATCATATAATGATGGTGATGATAATAATAATAATAATAATGATTTTGATCAACAACAACAACAACCAATAATACGTATACAGAATTTGGATGAAAAAAATATGCAAAAAAAATTATTATTATTAGATCGTTCGGAAAGTAATGGCTCAACAGCAGCCATTCAATTAGAAGCAATGGATGAATTTGATGTTGATGAATTTATTGAACCAATTGAAGGTTTACCAATTGTAACATTATGTCCACCAGAATTATCAACAATAAATAGTGATAGTGGTAGTGGTGGTGGTGGTAGTTGTATTGATGATAATAGTGTTGGCGGTGATATTAGTGGTAGTAGTGATAATATTAATGATAATATCAGTGGTAACAGTGATCATAATCATATTGTTGATGATGAAGATGATGATAATTGTTCAACAGGTATAACTGTTGTATCATTAGAAGTACCAATATTGGGACAAAATTCATCGAAACAATCACGTTCAGCATCAGTTGATTCACCATATCTACTACAGGTACCAAAACGTGATGATATTGAAGTTGGTGAAGGACCACCAAAACCACGATCAAAATCGGTTGATATTGTTTTACCAACATGTCCCGGGGGTCCTTATTTATTAATACCACCAAGACATCCGCCAACAACAACAAAGTAAGTGGTTATCTTCTTCGACGACATTTTCTTTATTAATTACAACAGAAAAATTACAATTTTTTTTACAAATATTTGTATTACGAACAAAACACTTTGATACAATCGAAAACAAAAAAAAACATTGTAAGAAAAATTCCTGAGAAATTCGTTACCCGGATTACATTTCCGGAAATTATTCCGTGACTACTATCTGCTATTTTCTAATTCTTATCATTAAAATTCTTAAGAATCGATTATATTGCGATTGTCTGTTATCCAAGTTTGTATGTGTTTGCTTTTCTCGTTTACAAAAAACAATCGACAATGACATCATCATCCTCAAACAAAATGATTCTAAAAATATATTCCATTTTCTTTTGATTCGCTTTTGTTGTTATTTTGAGAATACGCAGAAAAAGAAATGAGAAATTTCCGCTGGAATATTTTTTCGGTTCAGTTTGACCACCACCACCATCATCCAAAAAATATTTTATTTGCTTTATTCAATGGAAATTCTGTGTTTATTTCGATGAATACCATTACCATTGAATGAAGACGTTTAGGGAAAGTTTTTCTCTTTCCAGAATTTAAAGAATTTCTTGACTTTTTGTTTTTGTTTTTGTTTTTGTTTTTGTTTTTCGGAATTTAAAAATTCTCAAATTGTGGAATTTAAATGATGCGTTTGGTCAATTTTTTGATCAAAAAAAAAAGAAAAAAAGAAATGATTTCGAAAAAAAATCAGCATAACAGAAAATATAATCGATTTTTATTTTTAGAAACTTTCAAAATCATCATCAACAATCGATACTATCGATATACTATTCATTTCCCTTCTAAAAAAACAAAAAAACAAAACAAAAATCATTTTCATTTCAAAATCAAATTCCGAATTTTGAATTTTGAATTCTGGAAATTCTTTTCTTCTTGTTTTTTCAGTTGTCATCACACACAAATATTCCAACAAAAAAAAATTGTCAAAATCAAATTCGAAAAATATTCTTGAAATAGTTCAAAGTGAAAAAAAGAAAATTATTTGCATGGATAGATTTTTGTTTTTCCAAAAATTTTGATTTTTAAAACCAGAAAAATCCAGTAACAACAGCAGCAAAGATAATCTGATTTGAAATGAATATTTCCTCGTTTTTTTTTTAAAAAAAAATCTGTTAACCTCGATTGTAAAAATTCAATGATCAAAGATAAATATTTGAACAAAGAATATTAAAAGTTTTTACAACCCAAAAAATAGCTTTGTATAATAATAATATGCATGTGTAGTTTAGGTAGACAAATGAGTTTCTCTGGTTATTTTGATTTTGATTTTCAAGAATTTCTGGTTGCCATGTTTGTTCGGTTGGTTGTTTGGTGAATGTCGATCCATCATTGTCATTTGTTTGGCAGAAGGGAAAAAGACTTCGTAACGTTATTTATGAATTTAATTGCTATTTTTTATTTTATTTTATTACATTTGGTCATGCTATTATGAATTATNGTGATCATAATCATATTGTTGATGATGAAGATGATGATAATTGTTCAACAGGTATAACTGTTGTATCATTAGAAGTACCAATATTGGGACAAAATTCATCGAAACAATCACGTTCAGCATCAGTTGATTCACCATATCTACTACAGGTACCAAAACGTGATGATATTGAAGTTGGTGAAGGACCACCAAAACCTCGATCAAAATCGGTTGATATTGTTTTACCAACATGTCCTGGTGGTCCTTATTTATTAATACCACCAAGACATCCACCAACAACAACAAAGTAAGTGGTTATTATCTTCCACAACATTTCCTTTATTAATTACAACAGAAAAATTACAAAAAATTAAAAATGCTATTTGTATTACAAACAAAATACAATGACAAACATTGTAAGAAAAATTCCTGAGAAATTTGTTACCCGGATTACATTTCCGGAAATTAATCTATGACTACTGTCTGTTTTATTATCATTAAAATTCTTAAGAATCGATTATATCGCGATTGTCTGTTATTTGTATGTGCGTTTTACAAAAAACAATCGACAATGACATCATCATCAAATGATTCTATAAATATTTTCTTTTGATTCGCTTTTGTTGTTGTTGTTGTTGTTATTTTGAGAATATGAAAGAAAAAGAAATGGGAAATTCCCCTGGAATATTTTTTCGGTTCGGTTTGACCACCATCATCATCATCCGAAAATATTTTATTTGCTTTATTCAATGGAAATTCTGTGTTTATTTCGATGAATAACATTAACGAATGATGACGTTTTTGGAAAGTTTTTCTCTTTCCAGAATTTAAAGAATTTCTTGAATTTTTTGTTTTTGTTTTTTTGGAATTTTAAAATTCTCGAATTGTGGAATTTAAATGATGCGTTTTTGGTCAAATTCTTCGATCAAAAAACGAAATGATTTCGAAAAAAAATCAGCAGAACAGAAAATATAATCGATTTTTATTTTTAGAAACTTTCAAATCATCATCAACAATCGATACTATCGATACTATTCATTTCCCCTTTTTAAAAGACAAAAAAACAACAAAAATCATTTTCATTTCAAAATCAAATTCTGAATTCTGAATTCTGAGAATTCTGGGAATTCTTTTCAGTTGTCATCACCCACACACACAAATATTACAAAAAAAATTGTCAAAATCGAAAAAATTCTTGAAATTCAGCTAAACAACAAAAAGCTAAAAGTGAAAAAAGAAAAGAAAATTATTTGCATGGATAGATTTTTGTATTTCAAGAATTTTGAAAAAGATTTCAAAATCAGAAAAATCCTACAGCAGCAACAGCAAAGATAATCTGATTTGAAATGAATATTTCCTCGATTTTTTTTTAACCTCGACGGTAATGGTGGTGTTAAAAATTCAATGATCAAAGATAAATATTTGAACAAAAAAAAAAAAGTTTTTACAACCCAAAAATAGTTTTGGATAATAATAATATGTATGTGTTAGGTAGTTAGGTAGCTAGGTAAATGAGTTTCTCTGGTTATTTTGATTTTCAAGAATTTCTGGTTGCCATGTTTGTTTGTTGTTGGTTGTTTGGTCGATCCATCATTGTCATTTTTTTTTGGCAGAAGGGGAAAAGGTTCCGTAACGTTATTTATGAATTTAATTGCTATTTTTATTTTATTTTATTACATTTGGTCATGCTATTATGAATTATTTTCAAAAAAAAAAATTCAATTCCAGCCATCCAACCAACCAACCAAACAATTCAACTTAATGATTTAATTTCCCACTGTAAATGTGTGTGTGTGTGTGGGAGTATCATGAAATGTGAATGGAATGATTTGAATTTCAAAACAAACAGCGAAAGAGAGAGAGAGAGAGAGAGAGAGAGAAAGAGAGAGATGAAAGCGATAAATATTTAATAATCTTATTAATTAATTAATTAATCATCATCATTTTTTATTGATTTTTTCCCATTGTCTGTCTGTCTGTCTGTCTTTATGGTAAAGGTATTTTATTATTATTGTTTTTTTAAATGATAATCATTTCTTTTCCATTGTTTTTTTCTCACTCTCTATTGCATTGCATTTCATTTAAATTAATGAAATAATTAATTAATGATAATGATGATGATGATGACAATTTGAATGGATAATTAAAAAGAAAGAGAGAGAGAGAGAGAGAGAGAGAGAGAGAGAGAGATTATTACTTGTATTTCATCATCATCATTGCTATCACCACCAGCAACAACAACGGTGATGATAATGAAAAAAAAATTCCATTCATTAAAATACCCAGTAACACGCAGTTTACATTGGAAAGTTTACGGTAAAGTATTTTTTTTCTTTGTTCCGGAGGAAATTTTTCTTCTGCCGCTTTTTTTTCTCAATTTCAGTTTCGATTTTGATGATGATGATGAAAATGTCAAATAAGGTTGACCCCTTTTATGAAAGAAAAAATTATATCTTCAAGAACGAAAAAGAAACGAGAAAAGAAATTTTCTCGGTAACACCCGATGATTAAGTTGGTTAAAATTTTCTCTTTTAAAGATTTCATTTCGAGAATATTCCGGTTTTTTCTTTAGTTTTTATATCGAATTGATAGGTAGAATTTCCGAAAAAAATGAAATAAGAAAATATCGTTCCATTATAATTATTGGTGATCGATCGATCGATCAATCGATTGATTGCTTCATTCCTTCATCTTCGTGTTTTTCAAAATGTTCTCCTCCCAAATCCATTTTTCTCTTGATTTTTTCCCTTATTTTCCAAAAAAACCGACCAAAATGATAATTAAATTTTTGAAAGAAGCAAAAAATTGAATTTCAAGCCAGAGAGAGAGAAACAAAGTTCAATTTTTGATTTTTGACTTTTTTTTCCCTCGCGTGTTTTTGTGCAGAATATTTTTTCGTTCTGCATGCATGCTGTGCAGACGAAAAAAAAATTCATGATTCCATTCATAAACACTATGACATTTTTTTTCCCTCTGGTTTTTTTTTTGGTTTGTTTTGATTTATTTATTCTCTTTCTCATCTCATCCATCACACACACATTCAACAACTGTTTTGTTTTTGTTTATTTTCTGGTGGTGGTTATGGTTGCCTGTTGCATTATTTTGTTGACATTTTTTTTCTTCTTCTGGGTTTGATAAAAAATCACACCACCACCATCGCCAATCAATCGATTTTTGATTGACAAAATTTTTGCGTTTCTCGTCTGTTATGGTGATGTAATCAAGCAACAACAATGAAAAAAAACAACCAAAAAAAACCGATAACCAAAAAAACAAACCTAAAAAAAATCATCGCAAAAAAGTCAAGTCAGAAATTTGTCATCATCATCGTCATCGTTATCACTAAGGGTGATAAATCATAATTTGTCATTCAATTTTGCTTGTTTGTTTGAAAAAACATTTTTAATGATTAATGATGATTTTCATTTTTGGCATTTACTCTGTGTCTGTGTTTGTGTGTGTGATGAACATGATTTTTGATTTTTGATTTGTGATTTTCAAATTTGTAAAAATTTTTTCTGCAAAAAAATCGATCGATCGAATTTTTCACCCGAAAAACGCGTTCGATTTGATTCGCGAATTTTTTGTTTTTGCTCAACCCACGAATATTTTCTGCTGTGAACAAACTTTTCTCAATAAGAATAATTCCCGGTATAATATTGACCTTTGATTTATTCAACATTCCCCGATCGTTTTTTTTCTTATTTTGTTTTTGATTTTGACATTTTCCTCTGGAAATGTTAAAGTTTGTTTGTGGAATTTGAAATTTTAAATATCGAAAAAAATAACCGACAAAAGCTGAGGAACTTTACGTAAACAAGTGGAAGAAAAAAAATCGTAATTCCAATTGAATGAAGAAGAAGAATTTGGAAAAGTTTTCGGAAAAATCATCAAGATTATAATGATGTAAACAAATTTACAATTATTATTATTTGAAAGAAGAAGAAAAAAAACACTTTACTAAAGTATCATCATCAACAGCAGAATATTCTTTTGAATCTAATTAATGCACGAAACAAGAAGAAGAAGAAGATTCTCATTGATTGGCTTACAACAAGAAAGAGAGAGGCGACAACAAACAAACAAACAACAACAACAAGTTCGATGAACTTTTTTTAACAAGAATATTCTGTTGATTGGTTGTTGTTTTTTTGGGTTAAATTCAACACATTTCGGAATACAGAATATTTAATGAAGAAGAACTTATATTAACGAACAGAATTTGTGAATGAATGAATGAATAATTATTGATTGAATCAAGAATTTTTGTTTTTGTGAACCTATTTTCTTTTACATATATCGATAGTTTTTTTATTCGATACAATCGATATTTTTTTCTTCTGAAAACGAGATTCCAGCCGGAAAAATGATGACATCATATCCCGAATGAATGAAGAGAAAAATTTGAAATCATTTCGCCGGAATAACAAGAGAGAAAAGATCAAATAAAGAATATTTCCCATCATCATCATCATCATCATTAATAATTCCATCATTTTTCAAGAATTTTTTCACCCGAATTTTTGTGAAAGATTTTTGGGCAAACAAAACGTTAACGAACGACGAATTTGAACATTATTTTTCAATTATTTAATTCTCGAAAAATTCAACCAAACAAACAGCACAGAAAGAATAAAATATTAATCCATTTTTCATTTGAAATTGGATTTGGATTTTTCTCTCTCCGTTCGTCATTCTAGTTTTTGAATCAAAAAACGAAAAAAAAAGCTGAAGAAAAAAGATTGAATTCAATTTTTACACAGCAAATAATGAAAAAGAAGAAGAAACCAGCCGAATATTATTATTCCATAATGAATTTTGTCTTCCAGAATTAAATGTGATTAACAAGAAAAAATTTTGTTCGTTCGTTTTGTTGCTGAAATAATTTCATCACTGCCTTTCATTATCTTGGAATGTCCCTTTTGAAAATTGGGAAAAAACATTGAAAAATCAATCAAATCAAAACTGTGATAATGAAAATTTATTGACTGAATTCAATCCGTCCGTCTATCCGTCCATTTGTTTTTATCCAATGCAATTGAGTTGAAGAAGAAGAATCTTTCTGTGAAGAATCAATCAAAGAATTTTTATATAAACGAAAAATTTTCCCGGAAATATTTCCCGGAAAATTTCTGCATGAAAACAAAATGGTCCATTTAACCAGTATATTTGGTAAATTATTTTGCATACATCAATGTACAAATAAATTATATCATCATCATCATCATAATCATCATGGTCGAAGTAAACATCATCATCATCATCAACATCGTCATCATAAATCAAATGGTAAAATTAACAATCATC